ACAAACTACAATATTGAAGTCATTAGAATAAAGCATAAAATGTACCATTGATATATCCACATCTTGGGCACGCTATGGCTTTAACAGTTTTATATTTTTTTATTATAGACTCGAGCAATTGCATCTTCTGCAGCCCATCCAATTTGGGGTTTCTCATTTTCACCAAATGTTTTTTACGGGAATTTTCATCCAGGAAAACACAAGCACAGCGCTGTAAAAAATATCAAACATATAGTTCAAGCAAGGTATAAGAAAAACAAAATTAAGACAACTGCATACTGAAATCTGAGAAGAATATATACAAAATTTCATATTACACAAAAATAGCATAAAAGAGAAAGAAAGAATACAACAACAACGACGACAAAGTCTTATCCTACTAAGTGGGGTCGGCTACATGGATTAACTTTTGTCATAATGTTCTACCTAGGACCATGCTTATATTCAAATCGTTAATCTCGAAATCTTTCTTAATAACTTCTCTTATAGTCTTTCTATGTCTTCCTAGAAAGACTACATGGATAAAATATAATTTCCATTGGTAATGTGAATGAGACACAAACTTTTAAATGGACTTTTACACATTACAACAAAATTTGAATGAACTGTAACCTATTTTTTTCTTATTTTCCTTTTGTCCTAAGTCCTATGTATTTCTAGTATTTTTCAGAGAAAGTAACAATTGTGTTTAGTCACTCAACTTTTTTTAAAAGTTGATGAAAGCAACAGATCACAAAAGTGTGAACAAAAACAAGGCTCAAACTGAAATCCAGAGAGCAATATTAACATCCATATAAATTTGAGCTCTTTCACTGGTGCAAACGGAGACTCAGATCTCAAACCTCGAAAACGGAAAATTTACACTTATCACCAAGTGAGTGACCATCAAACCAAAGGTCTAATTGTGCTCTAAGTTAGAGTTCTTTAGAAGAAAACTTAACAGCTCTTCAAAAGACTAATTCCTAAGACTAAACAAACAGAAATAGTGACATCCATCTATGCATGTTATGTAAGTACTTATAAGTAAAGTTAATAGAAATGAGATAAAACAAGAAAATCATTATGCAAATAAAGTGGGAGTGGATAAGGAATATCTGAGGTTATTGATACCTTACAAATGCACTTCAGTATTTTCACAATTGTACTTAAGTATCCAACATTGAAAACAGGTCGGACAAGAGGTAAGTATCCGTAGTGCCCTTGACAGTCAGCATATTGCCCGTGGCATGTTGCACAGGAAAGACTCTTATTAGCAGGGCCCTGAATTGCATGAAAATAATGCTTTAGTATTTTAGCATTTTATTCTATACAGAAAAAAACATCAGCATTATGAAAGAAATATATATGATTATGAAAGAAAAATATATGATCAAACTGATGGAAAGACAACAATGAATTTCATCAACCTAACTTTTTCAATAAATGGAAGAAGAAAAACACAAAATGTCAATACAAGTTATAAATGAATAATGAATATGTTTTTAATCATTTTTTTACTTAAAGAGTCCCAAAACCTAAAGAACGTCAAACATTAGCTTATTTGAGCTTATCTACTACATAAGTAAGTACCTGCGAGTTGAGAGTATTTAGGAAAAGCTTATGGAAAGAGCTTTTGACATGTTCATAAGCTCTTTCCAATTGTTTTTTATGAAGCACAGACACCGGAAACATGACATCGTCACTGACACGTCGACACCGGTAATAATTTGAAAAAAATGAATAAATTGTACTCAGTCACAAGTGACTGTGTCAACACTGACACGGACACACTTTTTCAGAGGTGTCGGTGTTACAAAAGTTATTTTCATAAGCTTTTCAGAATAGATTATGAAAGCAATCTATAGTATATGAAAATAGATCAATTATATGTCATCTTTTGTTGTTCGAATAGCTTATACATAAGTACTTATATGATTAGCCCTAAGAGTAGACAATTTTATATAACTCAATAAGTCCATAAAAGTGAAGAAATCGCAAAGAGATGGTGATACCAGGCGGGAATCCAACAAGCCACCAGGAACAGGCTTTTTAAAAGGATCATAGTAAGCATCTTTCCACACTTGAACTTCACCAATTTTCATAATTTCTGTATCAGATAGCGTGGAAAATGAAATACCCGCTCTGCAATAAACAAACAGAAAAACGAAATTAACAATGCTTTATTCGAATGATGAAGAAATTGACATGAATAATTTGCTCACATTTTGCGTGGTCCTGTATCCTCGATGTAAGGTTCCTTCGTGAAGGTTATGCCCTCGCTTTTCGGCCTATTCATCACTTCCGATTGTTGTTTCTGAGAACGATGAAGTTAGGGTTTAAGGTTTATTTGACGCGCAAATGAACGGAATGAGGGTTATGCGAGGGTGGTTACGATAGGGAGAGAGCGTGAGAATTATGAAGAACTGCAGTGATCAGTGACGGCGCTGTGAAGCAGTTACTCTGATTGCCGCTAAGGAATGTCTCAGGGTTTATGCATTTGTATATGTAATGACCAAAGGATAGATTAAATAAATAAATAAAAAATGATAAGTTTCAAACAAGTCCAATTGGTAATTCGTTAGGTGTTTTTGATAAGGTCCAGGGTTCGATACTCGTTATGCTCAGTTTTAATTTTTTCTATTTTGATTTTATAAAATAAATTGGCTACACTAATTATATAGTTAATTTTTTATCAGCATATATAATTAATTTAATATAAATTTTTAAGGGTTTAACATCATTCTATTTTCAGATTTAATTTGTATGTAAAAAAATTTACACATGTATTTAATCAAATGATTTTATGATGTCATTGTTTTATGTCATTTTTTAAAATAATTTTAGAAATATGTATGTATAAAATAAATTACATATCATTTTAGAAATACGTATGTATAAAATAAATTACATATCATTGTACATAACATTTCTTAAAGTCAATTAAACCCCACTTCACGTCCTCTATTTTTAAATCATGAAATCAGGATTGTCTATGTTAAAACACATATTGTTTATTAACTCACAATAAATTATGTTTTCCTCCATTCTTGAAATGGTTAGTGGTGTGATTCTCTTCTTTTCTTTCATTTTTGAAATGGTTAGTTGTGCGATTGTCTTTTTTTCTTTCATCCATTTGTTAAGTTTTTTTTCTTCTTTTTATTTATATATATTTTAAAAATAGAGAGATTGATTGAGAGGGAGTACGACAACCCTAATGCATTGCTAGGTAATCAATGGCAAGGCACAGTGTGGAGAGAGGATCATTTAGAAAGTGTGAAACATTAGAAGAAGAGGATTTTGTGGATTATTGTGAGACTAAGACACTAGAAAATAACTCAAGTGGCAATTCGAAGACAAGACAGGTGAGAATATCATTGGTTTGACGCTAATGGCAGAGGTTCTAATAAATTATGATCAACCAAGTAGGGATGTTACTTTCTATTTTACGAGTGTATTAAAAGATATTACGAATGTAGCTTTTGTGACGGGTTTCTCTCTAACGGTTTTTTGCTTGACGCTTTTCTGGTAAATAAGATAAACAAAGGAAAATAGTTTTTTCTATAAGTTATTATAATGTTAGAGATAGATGGTTAGACCTTTGAATAAGAAGTGGTTTGGCTCGTCCAAGGTGTGGCCAATGTTGTATGGTTTAATCATTTTGAAGATAGGAAAAACAATAAGTTAGATAAGGTGCAACAAGAAGAATATCAAAGAGTTTTAATGAAAAGGATGTTTTAAGGATAATGCGATGTTAAGAGATGAGATGCAAAATGATTAAAAGATATTGGAGAATAAACTTTATGTGGATGTAATGGCTAGAAGGCATAGAAAGTAAGATATTGAGGCACCTCGCAAGTTATGTTGAAAGGAAGTGTTGGCAAGGGATGGAATATGAATCAAGTCTAGAAGATCGCTTATAAGCAAAGGACAATGTGCTTTAAGTTTTTCATGATGTTGATATTCGTCCATCTTTACCACAATGTCTTATTGATGCCAAACGTTCCTTTATATGTCTGATTATGATGAGGGGATTTTGTTTTTATTCATTTGATGGAAGAAAGAGACATGAAAATTATTTTGAATGATTTTATTGATTTTGGGAAAGCTCTAAGGATTAGTATCCAAAAGTTTTTTTTTTTGCAATAGTTTCTTAGCTTCAATGTTTTTGTGTCCAGTGTCATGCTTAGAGTGAGGAGTTTTTTAAGTTTGTTTTTTATTCTAAAGGAAGGTTGTTAGGTTTAGACCCCGGTACTTATAACAATTCAAGATTCAACTTTGCTCATGTTTATGTTCTTACTTATTATCTTGGTTTAATTAACCATTCAGTCATAATTGTGATTGATGAGACCTTGTTTGATGTTATAATTTTGGAAGAGCATAGTGATTTATGCTTGTGTGTCAAAGAAGACTAACATGAAGATGACTAGTCAAATTTAGGCTCGTGTTTTTGTCATGAAAATTTTTATTTTAATGATGATGAAAGTTTGATTATTTATTTGGTGAAAGAATTAAATGTGGATTAGATGAAAGGGGAAGATTTAAATTAAAATCATGTTAATTATGGTAATAATTTGAACATGCCTAGTTTGTTTCGAAGAAATAAAGAAAAGACTTTAACATTTGAATTAAATAAATAGGTTAAGAGGATTAATGGTTTTGAGGATAATATCCATTTATCATTAAGTCAATTGAATGAAGGGGTGATGGTGATGTGTAGTGAAAAGGAGATTAGTCAAACATGTTGAAAAATGAAGAGAATTGAGAGTTAGATTTTAGAGGAGGGTATGTAGTAGACTCAAAGAAAGGAAATAGTAATTCAAAGATATGTCACGTGAGGTTTTCCCTATAAGAGAACGAGAGGTTATAGTCACATTTAATTTTTTAAAAGGGGTGTGGTGTTGAATAGTGGGTGGTTAATTTCATACCCCAAATTTGTCCTACCTTTACATGATTTCTAGTGTCATCTTATTTTAGATGAATAAAATGACACAATTGACAAGAGACCACGTGTAAGGTGTTGCGAGTGTGAGAGGTTGAGAATTCAAATCACACCTTTTTCACTTTTTGTATTTTTCTCTTTTATTTTTATCCTAACTTTTCTATTTTCATAAAAAAAAAATCACAAAAATAATTTTTTTATTATTTAATTATTAATTTTTATTTTATTTAAGGTGTTTTTTTAAAAAAATCATATTATTCATAAAAATATTCAAAAAAACATAAAGTAAAAAATATTGGAAAATATTTTGTTCTTTTTATAATATTTTTAATTTTAGAAAAAATCAATATGATTGATACAATAAGTCACAAGATTAAAATCAATTAAAATTGATTTTTGGGCTTTTGATTATGTTTATTGATCCAATTGATTTCTTCCTTCTTCACTTTTTGTATTTTTCTCTGTTATTTTTATTCTAACTTTTCTATTTTTATAGAAAATCACAAAAATAACTTTTTTAATTATTTAATTATTAATTCCGTATTTTTTTAAGGTATTTTTTAAAAAAAATCATTTTTTTTCATATTATTCATAAAAATATCCAAAAAATCATAAAATAAAAAATATTGGAAAAGATTTTGTTCTTTTTATAATATTTTTAATTTTAGAAAGAATCAATACAATTGATACAATAATTCACAAAATCAAAATCAATTAAAATTGTTTTTTGGGCTTTTGATTATTTTATTGATCCAATGGATTTCTTTCTTTTTTAAGTAACCATAATTTTTCTTACAAAATAAAGTCTTTTCTTCTCATAATTTTACACACACTCTCAGTGACACAATTGCACAGGATTTTGCACACAAAAGTTTTGGAGAGTTCAAAAGGTCTCAAATTTTTACAATTCTTTAATTTTACTTTAGTTGTTTTCTCTTTCTTCTTCTTCTTCAACCATATGATGATAATTATCTGATGGTTTTTCTTTTTAAATTTTCTCATTATTATGATTTGATCAACCAAACCCAAAACGTTCTTGATTCTTATATCAAGTCATACTCCAACTTGTAAGTCGATTGCTTTTTAGCGATGCCATCAACCTCGTGCCAACGCTTTCTCTCCTGCTTTGGTTGCGGTTTCATTTACTAGGAGCACCCTTTAGGGACTAGGAATCGACATAACTTTTTCTCAGACCCTTGATCCAACGTCAAGTGGTTTCTTCCCTCATAACTCAGTTGTTTTTTATAATCACCATTATACAAATTCAAACCTCGATCGTATATCGAGTATTTTTTTTTCGTAAAACCACAACTTTTTTTTCCTAAAAAATCCAAAAAATACTTTAAATTATTTCTAACCTCTTTTCAAAAATCTAAAAAACACCTCACACATCTCAAACCTTTTTGTCTTCGCGCTTTTCTGTTTAAAAATTTTCAAAAAGCACATGCTATCTAGCATTGTCCATAAAAAATACACAACAAACCAAAAACATTTTTGATAAGAACTACGGAGTTCTGGTTCCCTCTGGTATACGTAGGCACTGGGTTGAAAACTCGGACGAACTCAATAATAAAAAAATATTTACATTTTCCCTCAAGTATTCATCCATATTTCCCTTAGTAAGCAATAAGATTTTAACACCTTTCATGCCTAGACAATTTATACGGTTCCCATCAAGTACGATGGATGTAAGGAGTGCTAACACCTTCTCCTTACATAACCGACTTCCGAACCCAACATGGTTACAATGACCATACCCTATCTCTTTTCCCTGTGGGTTTTCTCGATATTTTCCCTTTCCCATCGTGGAATAAATAAAGTTTGGTGGCGACTCTTATAAGTCCATCTGTGATCGTGTAAACCCTAGTTTTGCACATCGCGAAACTCGTATTTTTTAAGGTACGATAGATGGCGACTATGTTGGCTACTGGTTCACTCCTAAGCAAGTCAAGCCTAAAGGTAGGAAAACACTGAGAAGGGGGGGTGAATAAGGATTTTCAAAAACAAATAAGGCAATAAAAATAACAGGTATTTTTATACTGGTTCGTTTGAACTCAAACTATTCCAGTCCACCCGGCCAAGGTGATTTCGCCTCTTTCAAAAGAGGACTTAATCCAATAATCAAAAACTGATTATAATCTTTTCACTAAGACAAACTTGTCTTAGTCTTCTTGAGAATACTGACCACAACTTGGTCTCTCAAGGATCTTTTACAAAGTAATACAATAAAGTGTGTTTAAGTGCTTCTTAGAAAAGCTTTTTCACAATAGTGATTTTACACAAATGAAGATCAATGAAACTTAGGATTTTATTTTCAGTCAAGTGGTATGTTTGTTGTAGAATAATGTTCTCAATAT